TTCTGGGTCAAGCACAAAAATAGAAGGTTTTCCCTTATCAATAGTCAAAAAATAAAAACCTTATCTTTAAGTTACAAATACCCCATTATTTGCTATTGGTTCCAATAGGTCACCTTTCACTAAATCAAGCTTTGTGTTAGCTAATCATATATTTTTAATATATAGAGAGATAGATAAATGATACATTTTAAATAACATAATAAAGAAAGTATGATATTTTTCAGTTTAAGTATATACTTTTGTTGAAAATTGACAAGTTTACCCACCTAACAATTAGACTGGCTCTAAAATAATCATAACTTTAATAAGTTGTTCATAAGTTTTTTGTTTCAATTAGACCAAACCTCAAGTGTAATGAAATTATCCCTTTTAATTAAGTTATAAAACCAATAATCTTATATAAAACAGTGTTCCCTCTATACTCATGTGTTAAGATGCATATTCAGATAATCTTATGTTTTTCCTTTTAGAACACGTTAATTTCTCATCATATATCGATAAAAAAAGTCGGGTGAATGTTGGAGGAAATATTTCCAATTTTCCAATATCGGTAATTCTTTTGTAAGATGGTTGAATGTTAGATGGTCATACTTTTTTAATATATGTATATTTTTAAACTATGATATACATTTACATTTCTCAAAAAATAAAGTAAAAAGTTATGGCCGTCTACCAATTAAATAACCCAATTGTAATAAAAAATTGTAAAACTTTATTCGGAGCTCTTTTATTTTAAAACTAGCTTATATAGACCTTTTTTACTCCCAAATTCACAAATATATCAACTTGACATATGACGTGGGCATCTTCTCAGGCATGTCCGGGAGTGATGGCAATGGCGCGAACACGATGACGTCATGGATGGCAATGCCAGCCGTACTCTTACTTTTGGCCGTCACATATCACCATTAGATGAGGAGGGTTTTGAGTTTTGATATGTAGAAAATCAATCTATCGATTGGCATGTGTGATTTTATATGATTATATGATTAATTATATCCCACATTGATTTAGCATGTAATTTGTTGTTGTCTTGTTGATGGTTTATTGTTTTTTTGTGTCGGTTGTTGAGATTAATAATTGGGACCCGTTGTGTATTTCCTCCTTCCATGACTTGATTGATGTTATGTACTCCATGAGTTTGTGTACGCGTTGTTTAATGTTTTATAGATTATTTTTTTTTTCATGTGTTTGTGATGAATCTTTGTTGAAATGGCAATAAATTTTATGTTTTCTCAATCAAAGTAATTTTTAAGGCTTTACGATACAAATCCTAAAATCAAACGTATAATATGGATG